GCCCAGTGCGTCCCCCCCACCCCCACCCCCCGGGGACAGAGACATAACCTTATTCTTGTCACAGCCCCAAAAGACGAAATGCAGAATTTACAGAGATTTCTCAAAATATGTTTCATCTCCATGGTCAGGAACCCCCAGCCGACCAACTTTACTTTCTTTCTTCCAATAACTTATGAAAAATACAGCTGCAGATCCTGCCGACCCGATTCCGTCTCTCCATCAAACGGTGATTTTCGTAATGGTTGTTACCGTGGCGCCCACAGCCCGAGATCCTCGGCTACCTGTGTTTCCCCGTGCTGGTTCGCTGTTCCGGGTAAGCACTGAGGACTTCCCCCGGGGGTCGGGGGGGGGGTGCAGGGGAAGCCCGCGTAATCACCACGGGGAGGGGCTGACATCCGGAATCCAGAACGACTCCACCCCTGCACTTTGAAGATGAAGAAACCGAGTCTAAAATAGCTGTGCATTATGTGAAAGGAGCTGGAGAACAGAACCCACCTTGGAAAGTTTGAGCTCAGTAATGCCTAACATTCAAAGACAGCTTTCACCCTGATAGCGCGTAGAATTTCTCCCCAATTAACTTTTCAAATACTCCTTCAGTAATGTGTCTGTTCTATTCTTTAAAAGAAAAAGAAAAAAAAACAAACAAAAAACAAAAAAAAAAAACAAGAGCAAGCTCGACAAAGTGTCTTTCCTTTATCTCCTAAAACAGAATCAAAATTTAACATATGCGGAGGTACTCTTCTTGTCATCTACGTTTGTGCTTAGAACATTTGGCCATGACCTTCTGCAAAATCTTCAAAGACAATGAGCAGTGGTAGATAAGCATTCTCAGATACTTAAGTTTTTTTCATAAGTGATGGGCTTACTAAGGATCATAGACATATGAAGTAGCAGGTGATCAAGACAAAAAATATTTTGAATTCAAATATAGGAGATGGGTAAGTAGTGTAAACATCACAAACAATGATGCACTAAACACTGAATCTAATAACTGTCACCAAAGCTGAACCCAAGGGCTGAGATGCCCTTTTTGTAGATGACAGGAATCCTGATTGTCAGTCTATAGGTAAAAAAAAAAAAAAAAAAATCTATGAGAGGAAGAACTGAATGTCCTATAATCTTACATCCTTAAAAGACTGGATGCAGAGGATTCTATGGAAAAGGCATCGCACAGTACTGGTTTGTTACCATGGAGAGGAACCTTGAACAAAATTGAGACTCCCTCAGACAGCATCTGGCAACGAGCCATCTGTAGGAAAGTGCTTATTGAATTCTTTTTTGAGGTTGACTCTAGAGGGGAGATCTATTCTTCTGGAATCTGTGCATCGGATGTACTTCCAATAGTGGGAAACCTCCATATTTGAATACATGGAATTTTAAGGGCAGTCCGTCTATTCTTTCAACTCTTGATGATAAGTGATTATATATTTTTCACTATATAGAAGGAGAAAAAATTAAAACAAAAAGGTGGAATTACTGAAGGCAAGATTAAGGCCATCCTATTGGTTAATTTCTTTTCCTAGAACTGTGTTTAGCTCTATTTCAATAAGGAAGATGTCCTACAGGTCTATGACGATTTGAGAACATGCAGAGTTGCTACAGGATAGCAGAGTTGCCATCCCAGGGGGACTTAGGTTATTGGCAGCCAGGTGGGAAACTAGAAAAAAAAAATCTATTTCTCTACTATATTTAGTTTAATTCTGCCTGAGTACCGAGGATATTTCATTCAAAATACATAAAGGACCTGGCATGATTCATATGCGCTCCATCACAAAAGTCACAAGTCACAAAAAGGTGACTTGTTTGGATCTGCATGTCTATCTGTAAGAGATGAACCACCAAAAACTTTGTGACAACGTTCGAGAATAAATGATATACCTATAAAAGTCTACCTAGTTCTTCTAGAAGTGTGACAAGCCCCTTGGGTCCTTAGGTTTGACCCGTGGTCCCCGGGAGTTGTGCTCTGGGCTAACTTCTTCCCAGAAGGATGCTGTTCTTGGGGAGTCATGTTTGGAACCATTGTCAGAAGTGACAAGCCAGCAAGTGACTGGCATCAATAGAAACATCTCTCTCGTCCAGGTCCAGCAGCAAAATTCAAAGGACATCTGAGGGACACATTGTGGTTGCTAGTTACCAAGACAGAGAAGAATTCTTTAAGAAGGCCTGGTCATACCTTAGAAAAGAAGCTCAATCTGAAGATTAGTACCTTTTCTGTCAAAAAAAAAAAAAATTGTACAGCATCAGTAAAATGCCTTCAGAATTTATTCTGCACATTTTTTGAGAAGCTGAGCAGTGAAAGGAAGGAGAGCCCAACGGAGAGTGGTGAATGAAGAGGTAGGTTCTGGGGACTGAGTGATGGGATTCTCCCCAAAATCTTCTAGGCTCCTCGGCACTTTCTCTGGGCCCAGTGAAACAACTCCCTTTTCCTGTCTCTTTCCTGTAATGATGAAGCCATGGCTATGAAAAAGCTGAATTTTCAAAACTCAAAGACAATTAAGATCATGAAGGGGAAGACAAATAACATATGATTTCACTTACATTTGGGATCTAAAAAACCAACCAACCAACCAACCAAACAGATGAACAAACAAAAGCAAAAACTGACCCATAAATACAGAGAATAAACTGCCAGAGGGGAAGGGTGTGGGGGGATGAACGAAATGGGTGAAGGAGAGTGGGAAGTACAGACCTCCAGTTACGAAATGAGTAAGTCACAGGAACAAGGCACAAGAATAGAGTCGATGACATTGTAATAGTGTTATGTGGTGATGGGTGGCAGCTACTCTTGTGGTGAGCAGAGCCTAGTGTATAAACTTGTTGAATCACTATGTTGTACACCTGAAACCAATGTAACATTGTGTGTCATGATACGTCAATTAAAATATATATATATATATATATATATATATATATATATATATACACATATATATATGGTGGACCTTCTGCCCATGTTTTGCAGAAAGAGATTATAAACCATCTTTAGCTTTCTGATGACTTTGAAAGTGTACAAGGAAGAAGAATGAATATTCAAACAAAGTAGACAACAACCTCAAAACCTCAACAATCTAGTCCTTCATTTGAGGTTTTGAGGTTGTTGTCTACTTTGAGAACCTGGTGAAAGCTCCTGACTTTCTCTAGGAAAAAAATCTAGTTACCTGTGAATGAACAAACATACAACCTTTACATGAAATGCCACAAGTTTCTCAAAATCATGGACACCTGCTGGACCGCGATGTCGAGAAGAGGACCTTATCTTAATGACCATTTATGAAAAGATTTTTGTGAATGTCAAGGAAATTAACAGGCTGTGTCTGATGAATTTCAGCTCAAATTTAAAGGAGGTGATACTAATTTATTTCCTTCCTTCTCTCCTTCTTCCTTTTGTTCCTCTTTCCCCTTTCATTTTCTGTCTCTTTCCCTCTTCTCTCTCTCACTCTTGCCATGTCTTCCCATCAGAGAGGAGCTGGAAGGTGGTCTCAATGAATAACAAAAAATGGTTGGTAAATTCATTTACATTCTACAAATCACTTTCTTATGTACAATGGCTCTTGCCATTTGATGATGTATCTCATGCTTTTCTCTTATCTTAATCTGCATAGCAAACACACCTGGGGGGTATTTGCTATTACTAATTTACTAATGACGAGCTGTCTGATGGCTCAGAGAGAAAGTATTTAATGGAAATAGGACAAAAGCCCATATCTTTAGACTTAACTTAGATCTTCTTCCCACAAGACCGTGTAGCACAGGAAAGAGTCAGTTCTTAAGGCAGATTCTTAAGGGAGAAATGTGGTTCACTGTGTCTTGACTCTAAGTCTTATCACATAGACTTAGAACAGTATGGCTGGTGGAGAGGTGTATGAATACGGGATCTAGAACTAATTTGATACACTCTCATGTTGACCATCTCAATATGGTACCCTTTTAGGGGGTTTCACAAAGTTTACTGCATGAAGGAGTCTTTCATGTTTCTCAATACATACGGTAATATTTTATCCTTAAAACCTGAAAATTAGCCCTGCCGCAACTGAAGCCATCTAGTGGGAAGGACCACCCGGCACTTTCTGTACTGGGATAGTTAGAGCAACGACTCTGATTATCACGTCACCATGGCAAAGGGTCTTGTTCTCACTTGTCTACTCACCATTTAGTAAAAAAAAAAGAAAATTACTCTTGGGGTGCCTGGGTGGCTCAGTGGGTTAAGCCTCTGCCTTCGGCTCGGGTCATGATCTCAGGGTCCTGGGATCAAGTCCCACTTCGGGCTCTCTGCTCAGCGGGGAGCCTGTTTCCTCCTCCCCTGCCTGCCTCTCTGCCTACTTGTTCTCTCTCTCTGTCAAATAAATAAATAAAATCTTTTAAAAAATTACTCTCATTCTTTACATTTTATTCTGTGTCTAAATTATGTAATGCTTGTGAATATCCAGAAATCGAACACTGATATTGGTGTTCGGCCCAGTCTGAATCATTTGCTGAAAGAAGCAAACATCGTTATGGGGACTATAAGATAAAATTGTATCTAGCCCTTGTTGTGCATCTCTAACACACGCATACACACATAAATACATAACTTACGTAGATGGTTCTTTATGCTCTTGACACTTATTTAAGGTGAAGTGACACAAAACTTCTCAGAAAAACAGCCCCATGTGAAGAAGCAGCATAATTTAACTGGCCTTGTCACGTCCTCTGTTCTTATGTAATGCCACGATGTACACAGCATCCGACTACTGTAAGTCAGATTCAAACATCCCTCATGATTGCTAACATTTTTCCCCAGAATCATCCTTTTGCAAAGCTAATGTTGTGGGTCACGGGAACTCTGTAGATAATGTGATCTCTCCCCATCAAGTTCTGAGGAAAGTGTGGAAAACTACCAGGCGTTATCTTCAAGGTTACATCGATCCGTAGAAGGAAACAACAAAGCCAACCAGAGTCCCCCAGGAAAGCAGAGCAGTGGGAGAGGCTGTGGGCCAGACCCCACCACCCACCCACTGTACCTGTACAGATGAAGCTGGAGAGTCCCCCGTAGATGACTTCATCGTTGTCGGGTAAAATAAACGGACACCTCGTCTGAACCTCCAAACAGTATTGCTTGCAAGGAATTGTCTTTCTGCAGTTAAACTGAGCGACTTCAAAGTACTGGGAACACAGCCAGGCTTTGTAGACAATCTGAAAAAAGAGAAGAATCAAAAATCGGGAGGGATGACAAGAGTTCTGTCTCTAACACAGGACATGCTGTACCAGGAGAAGCGTGCTATGGTGCCAAGTGGATCCTAAGGAACCTCTCCTTTCCAGAAAGCTCTTTTACACAACGCCAGCTGCAGGTGGTGACAACAGAGCAACAGAAGTCTGCAACAGAGCAGAACATGGTTGGAAAGAGCCTTGAGGGAATGGGAAAGGGGACACGGCATTGGAGTTGATGTAGCTCCTTTGAAAAACAACGTAGTTCATCCTCACCTGGAGTTTCAACACCCAGTGATACAGAAAGTAAAAAACAAAGCAAAACAAAACAAAACACCATAATCAAATGTGTGGTCCCTTGCGGTCATAGACTGCAGTGTGCAAGGGGAGTCGGTTCTGAGCAGGAAGTCGGTCTAGCTATGCTGCCAGTGGACACTAGATGGCGCTGAGTCCCCTGCCACCAGAGCCAGCGGGTGGTGCAGACCAGCCCCGCCAGCAAGGGCTTGGGCTCCCGCACACAGAGCCAGGAGCAGTGGGCATTACATTGATGACTCACGAGTGCACTGAAAACCTCATCGCCCCAAAGCCCGGAAGCACCCAAACTCGGTCAGACCTAACATGCGTTGGTGTGTTTCGGAGGGCGGGAAGGAAACCTCATCAAAACCCCAACCCAGACCTTAGATACTGCCTGATGCACGTGAATGCGTGTTAATATTTAGTTACTCTGACAAAGTGTGGAACGATTATGACTCCATTTATCTCTGTTTTTGAGAGCTATTTTGGAAAAAAAATAATCACAGAAAAGTTAGTTTTCTATTATAAGGAAATAAACTGCACCTGAATCCAAAGAAAGTAAAGAGGACAGCACCCATCTACAGTTCAGATCACTGTGATTCGGGTAGTCCCCAGATCCTAGGCACCAAGGGCTGCTGTTCATCTGTTTCTGGGCTTAATGATATTCGGGGAAGATTTCGTCAACTCTGTTCTACCTAGAAACGCGATGGTTTACAGTTAAATGTCCGCTAAGAGCTCAGGAACCCTTGCCAACAAGAGGAAGAACAGTACCTAGTGTTTGTCAACTTTGTCCTAAGCACTGTTTGGACCCTTCCCCCCAGGTAAATTCTCAGGACACACCTAGGCGGTAACTGTAAGTCATGCTTTGCATACAAATGATAATTAGTAATGGAAGTAAATTAAAAATCCAGAATTCAAACCCACTTTCTATCGGACTCCAGATCCTATGTCTTCAAAATTATGCTATGTTTAATCTGAAAATGTTTTTTTTAAGAAGAACTTGTAAAATCACAAGGAGTTGGCGGACTCGATCCAACATCAGCACCAAACAGTGAGTGCCTGGCCGATGTCTGTTTGGTGTTGAAATTTTATTCATAACTTCGCATCAGTTTGATCAAAGTGAAACTATTCTTTGATCAAAGGTGACTCCATGGCAGTAAAATGGGGTACATGTGAAATTCAGATGTAAGTCTAGACAGCTGAGTAATTTATTTGCTGTCATCACTTATTTATCTATTATATATTTATTTAATTTAAGTGGGCTGCATGCTCTCAATGGGGGGGAGGGTAGCTGAACTCACAACCCTGAGATCAAGACCTGAGCCACGATAGAGAGTCGGATGCCCAAGCAACTGAGCCACCAGACACTCCCATCAGTACTTTATTTATAAGGGTTTATAATTCCTTAAAATGTGAGAGGAAAACATACAAATAATTTATAATCCCATAGGTCTTTTGAACAGGTCTTCACATAAAAGCATACATTAGAAAAATGATACTGCAATCACTGAGGGAACCCCCGATTTCTTAAATTCAGTGTGGAAACAACGCGTTCAGGTGTGTGGATGTGGGCCACGGGGACAGAGGTGGCAAGTGGGGAAGTGCCACCTGCTGTCAGAAAGAGGCTGGAAGGATGAGTTTTGGAAGAAAGAAGAGTTAGTGGTTTTCCAGCCATGCCTGCAGCAGTTGCATTATCTCAAAATGCCATCGGACATTTTGGACACAATGTATCATCTGATAGAGGACATCTGTGATATAAACCAAGCCCTGATCTAGGCATGGCAGTCTCTATCTTGTGATTCCTGGTTCTAATTTCCTTTTCTCGGCACTAGGGAAGTGGACTGTGTACACACCGCTAACAGTAAGCCTCCATTATAAGGAGCTCTGACATTCTGCATACTTCTGGGTTGTAAGATGTAGAGTTCCCTCTTTGCTCTTAGAGAATGCCCCAGTGTAATTCCAGAAAGTTGCAGGTATTTTTATGAGCCAGAATCTGCTCTCCGTTCTGCCTCCTACTTTGGTTTTGCACCATTTTTCAAAATCAAGTGGTTTCTGAAGAGCAAGTCCCATCCTGGCCCCAGTAGACCCCATCTTGGGCACAACTTTGTCCCCTCTCATAGACAAGGGGGATGGGGTATTGCATACTGGAGTCTGCAGGGAAATACACACATTCTCTTTGCATCACCCAACCGGGATGGATCCATTTTCCCCCCTTAAAGCAATTCCTTAAATGCTACTGCCACTGTATTTCCTTTGCAGATTTTTTCGCATTAAGGTCTAGTAAGTAGTGAAAGTGTTTTTTATTAATATCAGCTAGTAGCTATGGACAGAAGTGCTCAGGACTCTGGACCTCCCATGGGACTATAACCACCTGTCTGGCCAGGTTTCGATGAACTCCGAGACTTTCGAAATGCAATGGAAGTTTCCTCATCGGAGCCTTAAACATCTTCTAAAATTTGAGTGCTGGGATGTGATCTGTCAGAAAGCCATCAGGGAAAGCTCCAGGCAGAAAAAGAAAGGGGAGGTCTTTATTTTTTACTTTGAGGGGATTGCTGCCATGTGCTGAGGCCAAGAATTTTTGAGTGTGAAATCAGAGGCTACAGTTTTTGAGTGTGAAAGGGAAGGCAGATAGGTCTGTGGTGTTCTTGCCTGAAAAGCGTTCTTGCCTGAGGAGATGCACAGGAATAAAACGGGCCATCTTGGGAGGTACTGAGTTCAGTGAGCTCTCGCCAATGCGCTGTGAAGAGGCTTCTTGGTAGGATGGTGAGAGAAGTGAATGGCTCTCAGAAACTATTCCATGCCCTTTAGAATGTTTTGAGGAAGGGAATTTGAGAAAGTTGGATGGTTTTTAGTGGCACAAAGCTAAAGAAACCAGATGATTAATTTCTGTTAAAGTACGAAAGGATTTTCAAACCAAAGCAGATGATGGAAAGTAAATAGAGTTTTCTTCTCATAAAAGCTCTGTAGGGTGAGGGAGGTCAGGAGTCTTTTCTTATGATGGCCTCGCTTTCTCCTCTAGAGAGAAGATTAGGTAATTGCTCTCCTAGGTGTCCTCAATGGTATAAATGAGCCTCTGGTGCTGAGCAATAATTTGGGAATGAAACAACAGGGGCTTCCTATACTGGAAGGCTTCTATCCACTAAATGTTATTTTAGGGATTTCACAAGCCCACCACCGTCCCCTCGAAGTGGAAAACATCTGTCAAAGGGTCAACATACAGCAACAGTTTAAGTATGTTTGGAGTTTCATGCTGGCCTCAGACGAGGCGATGGGGTAAGGAGACAAATTCCTGGCTGAACTACATCCACCCACATGCCCGCTCAAGGGCAAGGGGACCCTTTTATGTCTGGAGAGTGATGTTTGCCAGGTAATCACACTCCCGAAGGACGCTCAAACGATCTCTTCATCCACACGCACTCCGCTCTGCACCCCTTGCAAACGACTAGTGACTTACAGGAGCAACATGGCCTAAAGGAGAACATCTGAAAATCTCAAGAAGTAGACTGGGTGGTGGGGGCTTCTTTGCCTGGTTCCCAATTATGGGAAGCGATGGTAAGCTATTGGCCTCTGGAAAGGACTGGTTTATGTGGGTAGAAGGATGAGCCTAAAATAGTCACCATTTTGTTCATTAGACATGCGTGGGGCCCTGAATAATCACGGCTAACAGGACTGCCATTATAAATGGCCGTAGCATAAACCATGTCCGGTTCACATTACTTCTCTTGGCTCCAGACATTCCATTTGGATGTGGCTAATCCTGTGGAGAGCCTTTCAAAAACACGTAAGATTAATGTCTCCAATAGAAGCGGAGATTCTCATTCCTGTTCAACACGCCTGCCTTCCTCCCCGAGATCCGTGTCTGTTTCAGTCAGCAGGTTTACATTGCAAATATATGTTGGCTTGCTGAAAAAAATAACCAGGGTTATTTTTTATCATTAAGGAAAACGTCCGGAATCGAAAGTGGCTGTCATCTTCCTATTAAAAGGTTGCTCTCCTATTTCCGCAATCATTAGCAAGGACAGACTTCCTATGTTTCTAAGGTGCATCGATCTGTTTTGTCAGGTGCTTTCCTGTCAGCTCTGAGGCAATAGTGAGTGGCCCGAGCTTTGAGTGTGTGAGTGTGGAAGAGTTGGTTATGGGCGTGATCATCGGCTGTGCACCTCGATGCACGCGGTGTACTGTTGTGCTTGTGGACGGCGGCGGAAGTCAAGACAGGCGTCCATACTCCTGTGTCCGAGTGTCTGCTTTATTCTTTATTCGTGTCCATGTCTCGTTAAAGCACAGTGCTCCCAAAGTCCAGCGATGCTCATGTATCCTACAAGGGAAACAGGTAAACAAACCTCCGCCTACCGATGAGCTCAGGCTTCCGCGGCATGTATTAAGAAGGAGAGTGCATCGAGCTCTGAGCTCCTTGACCCTCCAGTGTCAGCACACCTTGTCCTCCAGGGCGATGTCTTGGCTCCATTTCCTAAATAAGATGCAAATGTCTTCCAGTGTCTGTCGATGACCCACTTCGGGATGCTGTTACAGCACTTGGTCCTTTCCCCTGAACTTCAGAACTCCTCCGGCTTCTGGGGGCTGTCCTACATTTCCAAGGCCGCCCAGACCATGCTCTCCGCCGCACCAGAGCCCCGGGCTCCTTCGGTACAGGAGAGGGGGCCCTTAGAGGCGGGGACGTGCCGGGCCAGTCTGCC